CCCTCAGCTTCCACAACCCACAACTCCAGGAGGGGATAATAAGTTAAAATAAGTTAAATATGTACAAAATAAGTTAAATAAGTTAAATATGTACAATGTCACTGCAAGAAGTGCTTTTGAGAAAAATTATGCATCAGATGGAGTCGGCTGAACACAGAAGTTGCCTGCTCTAAGGCAGCCAGAGAAGGGGACATCTAGTTGAAAACCTAAAGGAGGAGGGAGGGAACAGCATTCTCGGCAACGGGAACAACCAGTGCAAAGTGAGAACAACAACAAGTTTCTCTCACGGATGCCACCCTGTCCCGGAGGCTTTACACATGCAAGAGCAGTGAATCCTCCCAACACCTCTGATGAAGGCACCATGCTTTCTTCTACCTTGAAAATGAAGAAGCGGCTGAGCGCGGTGGCTCACGCCTGTAATCCCAGCACTTTGGGAGGCCGAGGCAGGCAGATCACAAGGTCAGGAGTTCGAGACCAGCCTGGCCAATATGGTGAAACCCTGTCTCTACTAACCCCGAGTAGCTGAAAACCATGTGTATTCCTGGGCCTGTGGATTTGGAAGGACAGAGAAAACCATGTGTATTTTCATTTGGAAGGGCGGGGAAAACCATGTGTATTTTCATACAGGCATCTACCACCACGCCCGGCTAATTTTTGTAGTTTTAGTAGAGATGTATTTTCCTGTAGGCAAACACAGAGCCCGGGCACGGACGCGTGTCACTCTCTTTCCCTGGGGGCAGCTGCGTCACCTGGCCCTGCCCTGCTCTGGACTTCAATTTACCATGTTGGCCATGCTGGTCTCAAACTCCTGACCTCAGGTGATCCTCCCACCTCAGCCTCACAAAGTGCTGGGATTACAGGCGTGAGCTACCGTGCTCACCAGAGGTATTGAGTTCCTTGAAGATACTTTTCTGAGTCCTTAGTCACCTGACTTCTGCCCATCCAAGAAGTCCCTTGAGGAAACCTGGGGCCGACCTTGCTGTGTGCATGTGTGCTCCGAAACCGTCTTGCCCGTCCATCCTCAGCATTATTAGACACGGAGACTAGTATTGGCACCAAACCCAAGACTACATTCTCTAGCATCCTGCGTGCTATGGGTGACCATGTGACTAACCCCTCACCAGGATCTAGGCCTTAAAACACAGGGTGAGTGGTCCCTGCTCTGTGTCCTATTGTCACCACTGGAAAACTGGACATGTCTGAGAGCCGAATCCTGCTGTGCAGGTGAGAACGATCTCCAGGGCAGGTCTTCTAACCTGTCAGAAAAATTTCTGGGCCTGTGGATTTGGAAGGGCGGAAAAACCATGTGTATTCTCACTAACCTCTGTCTAAAATTTGGTATTTCCTGAATGTATTAGTTTCTGACACCTGCTGTAACAAATGACCCCGAACTTAGTGGTGTAAAATAACTCACACTTTCCAGGGATGGATAAATGGATGCACAAAATATAGTCTACACATATGATGGATTATGATTCAGCCTTCAAAAGGAAGAAAATTCTGGCCGGGTGCGGTGGCTCCCACCTGTAATTCCAGCACTTTGCAAAGCTGGAGCAGGAGGATCGCTTGAATCCGGGAGTTCCAGATCAGCCTGGACAGCATACTGAGGCCTCGTCTCTAAAAAAATTTAAAAATTAGCCAGACATGGTGGCACGCACTTGTAGTGCCAGCTACTCAGGAGGCTGAGGCAGCAGGATCACTTGAGCCAAGGAATTTGAGGCTGCAGTGAGCCGATTGCACGACAGTACCCTGGCCTGGGGGCAGAGCAAGACCCTGTCTCTAAACTTAAAGACAGAGAGATTGAGTCTGGGCACGGTGGCTCATGCCTATAATCCCAGCACTTTGGGAGGCCAAGGCCAGCGGATCACCTGAGATCAGGAGTTCGAGACCAGCCTGGCTAACATGGTGAAACCCTGTTTCTACTAAAAATACAAAAAATTAGCTGGGCGTGGTGGTGGGCGCCTGTAATCCCAGGTACTTGGGAGGCTGAGGCGGGAGAATCACTTGAACCCAGGAGGTGGAGGTTGCAGCGAGTCGAGATCGCACCACTACACTCCAGCTTGGGCAACAAGAGCGAAACTCCGTCTCAAAAAAAAAAAGAGAGAGAGAGTGAGAGGAAGGAAGGAAGTTTGAAGACATTATGTCAGTGAAATAAGCCAGTCTCAAAAGAACAAATGCTGTATGATTCCCCCTACATGAGGTACCAAGAGGAGTCAAATTCATAGAAACAGACGTGTCTAAATATTTGCCAGGGTAGCGGGAGGGGTTAATAGAGAGTTGTTGTTTAATGGGTATAGAGATTCAGTTTTGTAAGATGAAGAGAGTTCTGGAGATTGCTTGCAGAACAATATAGCAAACACTACTAGGATCAGGTGAGGTGGCTCACACCTGTAATCCTAGTGCTTTGCAAGGCCAAGGTGGGGACAGATCACTTGAGGTCAGGAGTTTGAGACCAACCTGGCCAACATGGCAAAACCCCATCTTACTAAAAATTGTACAATAATTTAGCCAGGCGTCTGGCTGGCTAATGGCACGCACCTATAGTCTCAGCTACTCAGGAGGCTGAGGTGGGAGGATCACTTGAGCCCAGGAGGTCGAGGCTGCAAAGAGCTATGATCATGCCAGTGCCCTCCAGCCTGGGTGACAGGGCAAGACCCTGTCTCAAAAAAATAAAAATAAAAATAGAATAAATAAATAATAAAATTACACTACTGAACAATGTTTTTTAAAAGGGATAAGATGGCACATTTTATGTGTTTCCCACTATTTAAAAAAATATTTACATTCCCTGAACAAAAAGAACAAAACAAAACATAGGCACATTTCTATTCCTACAGTTCTGACGGTTAAGGTGAGAGCAGGGCTGGTTCCTTCTGGAAGCTGCAGGGGAGATCTCTTTCCTTGCCTTTCTCAGCTTCTGGAGGTGTCCGGCATCCCTTGACCCCGGTTCCCTTCCTGACATCTCTCCAACCTTCTGCTTCTGTGGTCACATCTCCTGCTAATGATGCTGACCCCCTGGCTCCTTCTTAGAAGGACTTTTGTGATGATATTGGGTCCAGGTGGTCAACCCAGGATAACATCCCCATCCAAAACTCTTAACTTACATCTGCAGAGTCCCTTGTGCCATGGAACATAACATATTCCCAGCTCCAGGGATCAGGAACACTCTGGGGACAGGCTTCCGTCTAGTACAAATCCATTACAAATGCAGGCAACACACCACAACAGTGTTAGCAGAACTTGTGACTTTGTCACCAAAAAAGAAATCACAGACATTTCCTATCACGTTATCTTCCAGCAGGCACCTTGAAATATCATTCATGCTCATCTCTGCTTCCAAGTCACAGTGGTTATTAAAGCTGCCACGGGTGATTTTTTACTTAATGCATTAATGAAGAAGCACATGAATTGCTATGTCACAGTGTGAAAAAATATTTTGATCACTGTATTACAATCAGAGTTGGATTCCTTTGTCCTGCACGTGTTCTTTCATTCTGAAAAGGGTCCGTAGGCTTTTCAAGGCTGCCGTGAGGTCCGGTGGGTGAAGATGGTGAGGGAGCCCTGCCCCGGGGACTGTGGAGCACAGAACTGCCAGGAACCAGGGCCCCTGGATGACTGGGTGGGGCCATCCTACCAGGGGGAGCGCTCACCTTGGGAGGAGGAGCTCTTGGAGAATGACACTCTGTGGTTTGTAATCCACGGTCACTGTATTTGGGGGACTCTTTGTTCCAGCAGTTCAGCCAACTGTACTCAGCAGGGATCCCTGATCCAAGTTGTCCTCCTCATTTGTGGGGGCCGATCCAGGGTTAGTGAGACCTCATGTTTGCTTATACAATTCAAGGGCTTCTTGGAAAGAGAATGGGCTGGACCCAGTGGCTCAAACCTGTAATCCCAGTTCCAGGAGGGGCTGGGGTGGGTGGGGGATGGTGCTGAAGAGAGAGAATCACTCGAGCCCAGGAGTTTGAGGCTGCAGTGAGATGTGATCACACAAGAGACAGAATCTTGCTATGTTGCTCAGGCTGGTCGGGAACTCCTGACCTCAAGCAATCCTCCCATCTCAGCTTCTGCAAGTAGCTGGGATTATGGACTTGCACAACCATGCCCAGCCAATTCTTTAATTTTTTGCACAGACAGAATCTTGCTATGTTGCCCAGGCTGGTCTGGGCTCATGTAATCCTCCTACCTCAGCCACCCAAAGTGCTGCGATTACAGGCTTGAGCAACCGCATCCAGGCTCTAAATTAATTTTAAAGATGCTTCATTTCACCCAATACATCCAAAGTGCTATCATTTCAACATCTAATGAATATACAAATTTTTTTAATTTTTTTTTTTTTTTTTTTTTTTTTTTTTTTTTGAGACGGAGTCTCGCTCTGTCGCCCAGGCTGGAGTACAGTGGCCGGATCTCAGCTCACTGCAAGCTCCGCCTCCCGGGTTCACGCCATTCTCCGGCCTCAGCCTCCCGAGTAGCTGGGACTACAGGCGCCCGCCACCTCGCCCGGCTAGTTTTTTGTATTTCTTAATAGAGACGGGGTTTCACCGTGTTAGCCAGGATGGTTTCAATCTCCTGACCTCGTGATCCGCCCATCTCGGCCTCCCAAAGTGCTGGGATTACAGGCTTGAGCCACCGCGCCCGGCCGAATATACAAATTATAATTAAGCTGTTTTACATTTTTTTCCCACAGTAAATCTTCAAATTCTGGGGTATGTATTACACTCACTGACAAATGAGGTTGCACCACTTGCATTCCAGGTACTCGATGGTGACATGGGGCCTGGGGACCCCAGTGGCCAGCACAGCCTCAACGAACCTGCTGTTCTAGACGCTACTTTTAGGGTAATTTGTTATGGCAGCAACACAAAGGAAATACACACCAACACACACACAGTCCCACGTCATGGGTGTCTTTTCCTCATTGTTTATTTCAACAAGGGTTATAAAAAGTAGAAAAATAAACATTTGCCTGGAGGTGACTTGGGTTTACACACACAAATACATAAATAGCGATTGGGTGGCAATAAATTAAGACAAGCGGTTAATTTATAAATAAAATCTCAGATTGCATGACTGGTGGGAGAGTCAAACACACAGGTCCCCACTGGCGACACATTTCAGGTCCCGCGTGAGGAGGCGGAAGAGGTTGAAGGTGACAGAGGCCTCGAGGCAGCCAGGGGACTCCTGTAGGGAGAAGGGGATGGGTCAGGGGCTGTCCAGGGTCTGGACTCCTAGTGGATCCCCAGACCCCAGTCCCTCTCTTCCCAGCTCACTCACCTTTTTTGGGGCCTCCTGGAGCCGGTGCAGCCAGTGGTGGAGGCGGCCCCGGGGCCTGGGCCCTGCCGTCGGCTGAGGCTGGATCTGTGGGCAGTGGAGAGCTGTGTGTGAGGTGGGGCCTGGGCGGCCACAGGGGAAGGACGCTGCTCAGAGCCCACAGACCTGGGTGCCCGGGCCCCGAGGACTCACACAGGCCCGGAGCTGGGAGAGGATGTGGTGCAGGGTGTGAAGGGGCTGGTCCAAGACATCCACCAGGACCGAGTCAGCGTCAGCGGCGGCCTCCAGAACCTTCAGCGTCAGGGCCAGCTCAGCCTCCAAAGCCACGGGGCGCTCCCTCACCTGAGGAGAGGTGAGAAAGAACAGGTGAGGGGGCAGGTGAGGGGAACAGGTGGGGGGAGGAGGATAGAGAGGAACAAGTGAAGGTGACAGGCACAGGGGAGAGGGCACAGCCAATGTGGTCAGGTGGGTACAGAGGGAAGGGGGAGCAGGTATGGGGAGAGGAGCGAGAGAGACAAGGGAGAAGGAGAAGGTGAAGGGGCCACTACAGAGCCAGGTGAGCGGGGTCAGGAGGGCAGGCGTGGGCCTGACTCCCCCTCTCACCTGCAGCTGCCTCAGGTCCCAGGTCCTGGGGAAGAGGCGGGAGCGGCACCTGCAGTCCTTCAGCAGAAGCGACTCTTCCTAGACAGCAAAGGCACAGGTTAGCCCCAGCAGGAGGGTTGGAGGTTAGACCACTCTGATGGGATTGGAGGATGGCTGACAACAGGATAGGGGAGGTTAACTGCTGGGACGATTGTAGAGGATCCTCTTCTACAGGAAAACATGAGTCAGTCCCTGCAGTAGGAGCATGAGATAGCCCACTGCAGGGAGGGTGGAGGCTAGCCCAGTGAAGGAAGCTGGGACTAGGAAAGCATGGTGACCCTTGGAGTGGGGGTGGAGGCTAGCCCATGGCAGGAGGGCAGGGGGAGACTCACTAAGGCATCTTTGGCCCTTTTAAAGGCCTGCAGCTCCTGTGGAGACAGGGACTTGAACTGGGCTATGTGGCAGCCCCTTGCATCCGGGAGAGCCCCGGGGAGCCTGGTGACAGGAACTGCTCCAGTCACGGTCAGCACTGCGGCCATCAGCACCAGCACTGGCATGCAGCCCCCGGTCATGTCTGTGTCACAGAGAGAAAGGGAGCTGAGGGGATGGCGAGGCTGCCCCCTGAGGGCAGGGGCTGCAGGAGCTGAGCACGGACAGAGATGTGGGACTCACCTAGTTTCATTCCTGATCTCTGGTCTTTGTCAGCAGAAGAAACACTCCGAGGCTGTCACCTGGGGTCCGTTTGGGTCTTGTTTGGAGTCTCTGTTCTTTTCCGTCCCCTCTTCTGGATCTCAGGCTGTGTCCTGGCCTTGACTCTTTCTGTCAGTTTTGAGCTCTGTCTGAGATGTAACTCCTGCCTGAGCTCCATGGGGCGGCTTTTATCCCTGACAGAAGGGCAGTCCCAGCTGATGTGGGAAAAGTGAAAACACCACCTCAGGTAAGACACCGGCCACCAGGGGAGCCCCAGGCTGGGAAAGCCCAGAGCAGGGCAGGGCCAGTGAGCCAGGTGAGCAGCTGGAGGGAAAGAGAAACTGATGGAGACTCAGGGATTACCTACAGGAAGGTGTGTTCCCAAGAGGATTCCACCTGCTCTGCTTTTGTTGTTGTTGTTGTAGTTTAAGATAGGGTCTCACTCTGTCACTGGAGTGCAATGGCGTGATCATAACTCACTGCAGCCTCAAACTCCTGGGCTCAAGCAATCCTCCTCATCCAGCCTATTAAAGTGCTGAGATTACAGGCCTGAGCCACCACTCCTGGCATTGGGCGCATGCGCGTGTGTGTGTGTGTGTGTATATATGTGTGTGTGTGTGTATATATATTTTTATATATTTGTGTATATATATTTATATTTTAATATATTTATATATACATATATATATATATACATATATATATTTTTTAAACAGGATGTTGTTTGATCACCCAGGCTGTAGTGCAGTGCAAAATCTTAGCTAACTGCAACCTCTGCCTCCTGGGTTCAAGCGATTCTCCTGCCTCAGCCTCCCAAGTAGCTGAGATTACAGATTTGTGCCAACATTTCCAGCTAATTTTTATGTTTAGTAGAGATGGCGTTTCACCATGTTGGCAAGGCTGGTCTCGAATTCCTGATGTCAAGTGATCTCTCTGTCTATGCCTCCCAAATTGCTGGGATTTCAGTGGTAAGCCACCACACCCAGATGCCAATATTTCTTAATTGCCAGGCAAGGAATGACTTAGGAATATGAGGCGCTGCTCAAGAACTGAGGTGTGATGAAGGACTTGAAGGACACCACATGGGTGCTGTTTTTCTTAGGGACGTTCAGGCAGTGGTCAAGAGCATGGGTCTTGGAGCTGAAGGGTCTGGGGTTCAAACCTGGTTCTGACCCTCACTAGCCGTGTGACCTTGGCAAGGAGGGGTGCTTTCAGCAACACAGAGTGCTAATGCACAGATTTGGAGAAAAAATTAACAACACAACTGCTTGTGTATTTATACGAGTGATTATTTAATGGAATCCACTCATTAAGGCCATACCAGGACTTGAGCTGGAGAGTTTAAAACGTGATCTCAATGTACACTACTCCTCCACAAGGCAAGTATACTAACCCATCCTACAGGTGAGGAAATACAGGCTCAGAAAAGTAATTTGCCCTGAATTACACTGTAATTAACTGGCAGGGTCAGAACTGAAACTCAGGCCACCTGAGTCCCTGGCTCAGCCTCTTTTTTTGCAGTAAGGCGCACCTCACAATCATCATACGGAAAACAACCAATGCAATCAAAACGCTCTTTAATAACTGCCAATAAATTTAAACCAGGAGACAGAATAGCAAATACACAGGAATTTCACAAATACAAACAACATACGTTAGGGAATCCAAAGAACCACAGCCAGTTAAGGACTCTTGGGCCTTTCACAACCAAATCCCTCATGGATTGGTGTCCCTTAGATGCCTGATCCAAGAGTCACGGATTCACAGAATCTCAAAGCTGGCTGTGGGGCTACAAATCCGGGGTTAGGACCTGGTGTTGGGGGTGTCCTGGTAACCACACAAGGAGGAACTGGTCCCTGTTGCTTGGGGGTCAGCGACGGTTTCCAGAGCTCAAGTCTCTTTCTGTCATAGCAACCCTTGGAGGGCCGTACCATATACTCCGAGGAAATATCGCTGCTTCCTGAAGAACTGCACTCTCTTCCCTCTAGAAGGACCCACTCATCTTGTATCTTGAGACAGTGGATCCAACTCAGGCCCAAAGCTGCAAAGAAGTTCTCGTGCCTCAGCACCCATTGGCTGAGAGCCTTGTCTGGTCACTCCAATGAACGACAGGAGCCGCTTTCGGCAGCCAATGGCGTGGAGGTTTAGGTGGTGCCGGAGGGGGCGGGGTCAGAGGCAAGGCCCGGAGTGCGCAACCAGTCGGAGCTCCCACGTGAGCAGGCGCAGGAGGTTGAAGATCACGCTGACTTCGCGACACCGAGGCGAGTCCTAGAGCCCAGGAGGGAGCGCAGCGGGGCTAAGCCTGGCTCTTCCCTCCCGAGAAGCCCCCACTAGTCCCGCTCTCCCAGCCTCAGTCCCGTCCTTGTCAGCCTCGCCTGGTCCTCCCTGCAGGCTAACCCTGTATTGCCTGCTGCACTCACAGCTCTCCGCGGTTTGTGACGCCTCCTCGGGGCCCCGGGGACCTTCCTGGAGGAGTCTGGTCGTGACAGCTCGAGCTGGAGGTGGGACATGAGGCAAATGGAGAAGGCGAAGGACGAAGCCCCCCTCTGCATCTGCCCGTGACCCTCCCAGCCACAGACCCGAGCCCGGATTTGAGGACACCCAGAGGACCCGAATCGGGTCTGGATCTGTTTTTCCGCTAAGCGGGACAGATTCGCAAAGCGCTGGGGCACGCCGTGGGCCTGAGGATGCAGAGAAGCTGGCGAGGGCGAGGGGCGGCGGGCGCGGTCGTCACTCACGCAGGCCGCCACGTCCTTCCCCGCGGCCGCCAGCAGCTCCAGGATCGGGCCGGCGCCGGGGAGCAGCTCCGGGCGGTGCAGGCCGCTGAGCACGGCCTGGGCGTCCGCGATGCCCCGGGCCACGTGGCGGAGCTGAGCGCAGGACTGCGGGGACCAGAGGGCGTTAGAGGGGGCCGCGCCCGGTCCATGCCTTCCCCGCCCGCTCCCGGGCCTCACCGACGGCCGCGGAGGATCCCTCCTGGGGCGGAAGGAGCAGTTGCGTGGCTCCCATCTCAGCGCCTCTTCCTCCTGCGGGATAAGCGGCGCTTTTCGCGTATCCTGGGCCCCCTCGCCAGGGCCCCTAACCTCTGCACAGTCTGGGATTCCTGGACGTGGATGGGTACTGGCAGCGTACGGTCGTGCCTGTCGTATACTGAACCAGGGAGCTCCCCGAAGGCGTGAACCCGGGTTGAATTGCACCCCGCGCTCCTCCAGGAAAGCTCTGCGCCCTGACCTGGAGCCGAGTCCGCCCGTCAGGGCGCCCTTCTGTGACTGACCCTAAGCCTGCGTTCGCGCTGACAACGGGGACTGCGGGGGTCTCGTGGTGGGAATTGCGGGCGCTGGCATACGAGAGGCGCCTGCTGGGCGCTAGGACGCAGGACCCCTGGGGACAGGGACGGGTGTATGGGAACCCGGTGGGGCCAGAGTCCCAGGGGGCGCAGGGGCTGGGCGGTGACTTACGTAGCGGTCCCTCAGCGCCTTGGCCGCCGCCAGCGTCCGGGGCTCCAGCGAGCGGTAGTGCGAGAGCAGGCAGCGCCGGGGGGCCGCTGTGACCACCGTGCACAGGACCCACAGCCCGGCGGCCACCGCGGCCCAGACACTCGGCCGCATCTCTGCTTCTGCAGCAGGCGAGAGACGTCAGGGAAGCCAAAGAGAGGGTCCCGCGCGTCCAGACCCCTGCCTTGGGTTAGGCTCGCAGGGGAGGCGATGCTCGGAGCCTGAAGGCGCAGCACACACAGGGGGAGAGAGCGGGAGCCGGCCCCCTCCTCGCCTTGGCCTCTGCCCTCACTCCTCTCTGCAGTGCACCCTCTGCGCCTCGTGCTGCAGCAGGTGCTGCCGTCCACTATGCCCTGGGAGGTGTCCAGAGCAGTCTCCACTTGGGCAACAGTGCCTCGATGGTCCATGCTGGCTTTTATGTGTAGGGCTGAGAATGGGGTTTGCAGCCGGACTTTCCTGTCCAGGGCAAGCTTTTCCAACATCAGAGCTGGCCCCAGGCCTCTGGGATCCCAGTCGGGTGTGAGGACTTCAACCCAAGGTTGGCCTGTGCCCGGGATGGCTACCCTCCAACACTCGGTTTCCAAATTGTCTCTGTCCCTGTTTCTACTGTCTGTTTCCTTTTTCTTTGCTTCACCCTGGTTGTCCTTATCTTCGTTCTGCAATCACAACCAGCCCTTGTGTAGTGTTGACTATACATCAGGCCCTCTTCTATGTAATTGACACAGACATATCATCTCATTTTTGTACCAGGGCAGCCCTGGAGGTGTAGCTGAGAAAGAGAACGCTTATTTTATTTATTTTATTTTAGAGATAGGGTCTTGCTTTGTTGCCCAGGCTGTAGTAGTGGTGCAGTCACAGCTCACTGCAGCCTCAACCTCCCAGGCTGGAGCAATCCTCCACCTCATTCTCCAAAGTAGCTAGGACTACCGGTGGGCGCCACCACCATTTTTTGTAGAAACCTGGTTTCACCATGTTGCCCAGGCTGGTCTCTAACTCCTGAGCTCAAGCCATCTGCCTGTCTCAGCCTCTCAAAATGCTTGGATTGCACCTGGCCTGCAGGTGTAATCCTGGATTGCACCTGGCCTCATTATTTTCTTAAACCGTTTTTTTTCTAGTCTCTTTATCTATAGGTGCATTGCTTAAAAGAACTGCAGATGGCCAAAAAGGCCACAGGATCTTCAGAATGTTTCCTTTGCTTATTACTGGAGGAAGATAAGGCTGAGGCAAAACAAGTGCAAACCAGACACAGTGACCCATGGTTACCTTTAGATCATTAATATATAATTATCATGCTAAACTCCCTACCCATGGAGGAAAATATGCTCACCATTTGCTGAACATACATCATATGAAGAGGCATGCTTATGATCCGACCTGCGTCTGGAGTTGCTTCCTGCACAAGCTTACATACCATCCCACCCCATAGCTAACTCCTTAAAATTTCCCAGCTCCCTACCGCTGGGCGATAAGGTGTTTGTTTGTTTGTTTGTTTGTTTTGAGATGGAGTTTTACTCTTGTTGCCCAAGCTGGAGAGCAGTGGCACAATCTCGGTT